CTGTTATGGGATGCATCCTGGGGATTTGTATTTGTGTGTGTGAAATATGATGATATAATAGAAGGAAAGTAGGTCAGTGGTCAGCAAATTTGACAACCGACGGTTAGAAATAGGAATATCTATAATAGCGCATGAATATCCATACAAAAAGAAGAAAAAACACCCTGACAGTTAGCAAAGTGAATGGCGATCATATCCACTTAAATCTCTATTATCTTTCTCATGCATACAATAGCACTATTTAGCATAGTTTGAGGGATTAACAGCAAGTAGTGACGGATACTGGTTGACAAGAGGTCAACCCTCGAAAATGTGATTAATATCTGCTTGAAGTTTTTCAGTGTTAAGCCAGTTTATTCCACTAAAATTAAAGTAACCCATGCCACAAATACTGTTTGACCTAGATGCTCTAGATATTTCATCCCATAGATGCTTTGCTTCCATTCTGTCAAGTTTGGTAGCCTGTATATAATTCCTATTACTATAAGATTTTCAGTTTTTTCATTTAATTCTAGCCAAATACTTTGTGTGTGGCTCATTTTTGATTCCCTCTTTTTAGACTACATTTCAAATTTTCCCTATCATATATGGCTTCTCCCCCCTCCTCATCTAATATATCTGTGTGAAAAAGTTTAAATCTGTTTATTTGATATTCAGCTAATAGTTCTCTGTTTTCTACATTCATCCATGTTTTGGTAAGTGCAATAACATTTGTTTCTGTGCAGACAAGAGCATTCAAATTGTTTATTTTGTTCCTTAGACTCCTACTGTTCGTGTAATATACCTTAAGTGTATTGTTATTTTGAGGCCCTTGTCCTTCCCTGTTCATTTTGTCATTTTTTTCCCCTAACCAGCACATACTTTTATTGCCTCATTTCTCCATATCAATTCCCATACCGCTATCTATTAAAAGTTTAAACCCAAACAATCCCCTTCAACCACAGGTTCCAACGAATTGACAACAGCAACAACTCCATTGTAATTGCTCCAGCCCCTTGATAAATGCACCCCATCCTGAACATATGTCATTCCTTCCATAGAAGTGTTCCCAGTTATCAATGAATGATATCGCCTTTGATTTACAATATTTGTCCAGTCAGCAATTGACACCAAGTGCCCTCAATAACCATTCATTTCCAACTCCCTTTCATGGAATACTGCCACATATGATCGGAATTCCTCCCTTGCTCTTAATTCTATGGGTGTCTTAAACCTCTGTATCAGTGCCTCACTCCTAACTCATCCTACATCATTTTCACCAGCACTGATATAAATAATGGAATAATGGGTTTGTTCCTATTTCCAGTCATAACATCATTCATGTTATTTACTATATCACCAATTCCTGCTCCCAGATAGCAAACCCTTAATCTGTTTTCCCTATCTCTGGCTCATAAAGCTCTATCCAGATACTTCACCTGGGACTCTCTCACAACCAAAATTCACTTAGGTATTTCCTTTACTTTGTGGTCAACTTAAAGGACTGGTGCTCCCTTCATTGCCTTGCCTTTTGAGTGAACTGTTGTCTGCCTACAGCAGTCATCTTCCAGCATGGTGAATGGGTTGGAAGTCTTTATGCCATCTGTAGGTGGCCTCGTCAGTCTTCTTGAAACCCCTGTCCCCTACGATAATCCAAGATGTAGACCCCCTACTGCTGCTCCCCTCTTTTGCTTCCTCTTGCCATTGTTTCATGTCTTAGCTCCTGCATCTGCTGTAGCTCCTTCTGCAGGGAATCCAGCTCTGCCCTCAGAGCTCCATATAGCTCCCTCACCAGCACAAGTTCAAATTCTACACCTTCCAAATTCAGTACCAAGACAATTGGACCTCCAGCTAACACACCCTCTCACTGTGACTGACTGCGAAGGGTTTATATGTACGAATGGGGCTGTGCAAGTTATTGAGGTTATACAAAGGACTTAGTTTACAAATTTGCCTCATTTGTATTAGGGACTTAAATCTTCCATCTTTTCATATAGCCCAAATAAATTACAGTAATTGTTTACATTTCTAGCAGCATAAAGCTCCCACCACCCTCGCAGGTGCATCCTCCTTCCATTGGGGAAGGCTCATGGATTCCCACCATCCCTGTCCCGCACTTCATTTCCTCATGCACTACTCACTCTTTGCTATCTTTACATCGAATGACCAGACTAACCACCAGAACAACAAAACTTGTAGGAACCACCGCCAGACTGTCAGAGATAGCATACACATATTGCTTCACAGAAACCTTCAGTATAGAACAAGTGCATGGACAGATAATCTGGTCAAGATTCTAGAGAAAGTGGACTTAAAACGGCCCATTAAAAACAAAGAAGAAGAGCCCATGTCAGCACTTTCAGCAGCATCCTCCATGGGAAGAATCGAGTCTAAAGATAATCATTGAAGGCTTACCAGTTAAAAAATCAGCCTGTGACTCGCATAGGCTCAAAGCAATCATTGAACAACAAATGGAAAGCATCTTAAGACTGACAATTACTCACATCTTCACAGATGGAGCAGTTGATCAAGAAAGAGGTTCTGCATAGGCAGCAGTTTACACTAACAACCATGAAGCTTACTGGAGCATGAATAGTGGGTGCTCAGCATTGCAAACAGAATTATATGCCCTGAAAGAGGCCATAAATTATGCAATTTAGAATAATTTACATGATTTTATCATTCATACTGACTCTAAATCTTCGCTCCAGGCATTGTTATCCAGCCAGCACATAGATAATATACAATTCGTCACAGAAATCCTACATATAGGAAAATATAATATACATATAGGAACCACCCCATACATCGAGAAATGCACCTCACGACACTGGAAGATAGAAGCGTATGGGGAGACATGATCACTACCTACAAAATTCTCAAGAGGAATTGACAAGGTAGATAAGAATAAACTGTTTAACACAGGTGGTGCACGAACAAGGGAACACAGGTGGAAAATGAGTACCCATATGAGCCACAGGGATGTTAGAAAGAACTTTTTCAGTGTCAGAGTAGAATGCATTAATGCAGATGGAATGCATTAGGCAGTGATGTGGTGGAGGCTGACTCCATACACAGTTTCAAATGTAGATATGATAGAGCCCAGTAGGCTCAGGAATCTCTACACCAATTGATTGACAGTTGAGAGGCAGGACCAAAGAGCCAGAGCTCAACCCCCGCAAGCACAACTAGGCGAGTACAAGTCACATTTGGCTTGGATGATAATGAAAAGGCAGACTCACTAGCAAAAACTGCCACTGCTCTACTTGTACAGGTTAAAATACTGTACCTCCAAGTTTTTCACAGATTTAGGAGGAAATCAAGAAGAAAATACAGAACAATACTCCCATCTATCAAAAGTCGCCACAGAGCCAAAGTAGCGGAAGATTCACTGCGATGTGGTACGAACAAGCCACTGGTTACTCCTCTTTCAAGCCTAGCAAAAAGATATCCTGAAACATCACACTAGCCATACACAGACTCAGACTTAGTTACAAGTGCTGCTGGGAGGTAATAAACCCAATAGTTAAGGAGTGTCATATCTGTGGAGCAGAGGTGCCGCTATTAAACTACTTACTGGAATGTGAAGCAACTGAAGCCCTGCCCATCAAACTCAACATTCATCTGACAAGAGCAGCTGCATTAAATGCAAAATCTACAGCAACGACAATGGTTAGAAAAGCAGTTAAAGAATGGGACACACTAGTGAACACTGCATCTATATCCGCCACCCAGACAATGTTATTAAAACAAGACCTAAAACTAGTGCACAAAAACAGAAGTGGAAAAAGAAACGGGAGAAAAGGAGGAAACCCCAACCTACATTTAAAACTTTCAACCAAATATCACAGTAACAAGGTTATCACAAATAACCGAACTAAATTACGGGCTCACTATGGCCTGTGCAACATGAAAATTTCCTTCTGAGTAGCTAAATCTAAAACATCCAATGACCCAGTATGGTTAACTGGAACTCGAGACCTTGTGTTAATTCCCTGCATCCTCCAATGACGCTGGTTTGCTCTGCATCCTTGTTCCATGTTTCTCCTTGTTTTGGGGTTATTCATTTAATTTTCTCCATGTTTTGAGGTTACAATATTCATTTCATTTTCTCAAGTGCTCCTGAGATTTTTGTTATTCAGTTCTAGATTTATTCAATTCTCTCATGTGCCCAGTGCTTCCCCAACACCCGAGATGTTTCTCCTTCGATGCTAGTACGGTCCCCGTCCTGCCTCTATTTTGCTCAAGTTTTCTGTACCATTCATCCACCCCCTTGCCTCCTGCCCCAACCTATAACCAGGCCTCCTGATTAGTGGTCTGGTTAACCAGGCTACTGGATGCAGCTGCTCACAGCTCGATCAGGTATCCTCTGGAGATGTTTATCAAGTTCTTTCTTGAACATTGTGAGAGGTCTGTTGGTTATGCTCCACATGTGTAGAGGGAGTGTTGTAAAGTATCGGGCCTCTTTCGGGGTACCTGTTACACCAATTTGCTTTTCATTGGGGGCTATTTTGCATTTCCTGCCATGCCTCCTGGTCTTATGAGGCATTATTTCCATGTGCAGATTTGGAATCAATCCAAGTACAAAACAGTACAGGACATAGTACAACATATAGCATACTGTACATGATATACATCATTTATAAACTATAAATGCATTTGTAGCAAGTATATTCGAATTCTCCTCATGACTCCTACTGACTTTCTCAAAATTACTATTTTATGGAAACTTGTTTGTGAAGTGAACTGACCACAGAGAGTCTTCAGTTTCCCACTCTGGAAACTAGGTTTGTCAATAAATACGAACATCAGAGGTTGAAATCCGGTGGGTTGATTTGATCCAATTTTAAAGGGGTCAGTTATATAGAGGCTTGGTTTTTTATGGGTGCACTGAATTCATACGATAGGAGATATTGTGGGGCTGCACATCAGTGGTAATATGCTAGACTAATAAAGTCCTAACAAGTATATCATCTGGATAAAAATATAAATGAACAACATTGGATATTAAGAATGCAATCTTTACAAACCACTTCTCTTTATTGCTCGTTTGTGTCAAATATAACACACACTCCTTGTCACATTCATTTACATCACCAAGACTTAAAATAAGACAAATAAGGCATAACTTATATATAACTGAAATAATTTACAATGCAGTGACCAATGCTTTTGGCAGTGTTGACTGGTCATCTTTACATACATTACCTGTCCAAAAATTTTGCATCAGTAACTGACAATGAAACTTTTTTTAATGGCTATGTAGTAAATAAAGTACTGTACACCTAAGCTTACACTGAATATTCTATGATTACAAAGTGAAGCTCATAATACTATAATCATTTTGTATTCTTTATATTTTGTATTATAATACTGTACAGTTAAACCAAGAAGATTACATAAATTTTGTTTTGATGCATAGGGATTTAAAATCACAGAATATTGTGACAAGAGGGATCTGACATGAAGGATCAGACATACCAATCAATAGATTTGGAAAGAATTTATAAAAAAAAAAAAATGGTCCAGAAAATAAAAAGACCAAGTACAAGCAAACAGGTTGAACTGCACTAATTGTATTACATGTTACAGATAATTAACCCTGCATGGACAATTATGGTCAGACCCCTTTATTTCTTTGGCAAAGTAGCAGATGACCCCTTCTATTTAGTTTAGACATACTTTGTGATTAGTTGCCTTCTGTGCACTGGACAAACCTGAGCCACCATTCAGAGGCTCACTTCTCTAATCAACCCTTTTCTTTGTACAATAAATTTACCTTTGTGTAAAACCAAATACACGAGATTCATCTTTTAGCTCCGAGTTTGTTTTAACAAAGGTGTAAACACTCTTAGTCAGTTGATGATGAACTTTTAATTTAAAAATATACTGTATTACATAGCATGTTGATTTATAAATTCTCAATCCAAAACAAATTATCTTACCAAATTGAATACACATACTAATTATCTGAATATTCAGACATGCAAACTATCTCGCACTGTTCTACATAAAAGTTTGACACCTTTTACATTCTAATTACTGTACCTCAAACAAACAAAATGTGCACATTAAATAATGACCAAAGGCAATGTGTGTTGTCTACAAGTGTGTTTATTATACCCTGAGTGGTATAGGGGCACACAGCACCCAAAGTTGCCCATGGTTTACATTTAGTATTAAAAAGCCTGTAAGGCAATTGGACAATTCCTGAATAATCCAAACATTTCGTAAGGATATAATGAAACCTCCACACTAGTAACTGAAGTTTTACCTCTGCCACTAGAAGATTCAGGACAATAACTCTTCCGAGGCACTTTGCTCTGCAACATTGCAAAAACGGCTTCACTTTATTAGAGGAAGGTGACCGTGTGCATCACCAGTGTGGGATTGTCGGTTGCTTGAATCGGGCTCTTTTATCAAGAGGAAGGCACATGTGGGTCCCAGGACTGTGGGAGGGGTAATGGCTAACTCTTGTACTGCTTGGGAAACTAACGGACAAAGTCAGCTCACATTACCAGTCTAGACAATGTGGAGAAATCTGAATATTCACTTGGAGGACAGGCACTATGGTGAATATACCCTGTAATGTGGTGTTTAATTACACTGCCTTCCATAATGGTCCAAGATTACATAAATTACTAACAATTTTAAATTTATATACTGTATTGAGATTTGGCAAAGGAAAACTGCCTGATTTGAAGCAGTCTCGGGTTAAAGGCAGTAATTAACAAAAAAAAAATACACTAGTGCCCGACTGGTTTGGGGGGGAGGCCCCTGAATGTGACAGTATCAACCCCAGCAGACAAGAGTAAGATGTGGCAGTGGACATGAACAAATCTCTCAAGTTATCAATGAAAACTTTTACAAACAATTATCGAGATGAAATTTAATAGCAATTGTTGCAAAACATTACAAGGGCACAACATGGTGGCATCAATAATAATATAATGATGACTTAAGAATTTGTATCATGCTTCACAAGGCTTGAATGGTGAAAAGGGTGAGGTGGGTCAAATTATCTTGTGTAAACTACTTTTATTTTCAATAGTTAAGTAGAAAATATCTTTGTAGTAGAAACACCGCTAGGGGTTAGAGTTTGTCTTTTGAAGTCTCATATCTACACATTGTTCACATTCCAAAAATTCTGTACAGGCATAATAATAACCATTTCATGCATACACAGTTTCTATTACACACTCTTCAGTGTGTAAGTCCTTCTGTGCAAGTATTGAGAGACCTAATACATCTTTCAGTGGTTCTCCATCTTTGTTGCAAGAGACATCTGGTGAATTACGATTCTTGAGCAAGTGCAATTTTTGTTTGTTTATACTCTGGTTATATCCTCACTATCAGAAAGCTTTGAATATTTCAAATTATCAACAATTATGTATTGTCTTACATCTAAAGATGCTTCTGAATCTGTATTTCACATAAAGAGGTATCTTCCGTGTCAAATGCATCATTTTAGCTCTTCCTTCATTAAAAAGCTGAACCCCAGAGAGATTCATCCTCTCTGGGATAAATACATTTTTTCTTTGAAGGATATCCTATTATAGGATATGTATATTTTCTTCCTTACACAGCTCTTGAACCTATTTTTACAACCTCATTTTCCATTGTCCTTTATTTGCAGTGTTTTAAAATTCATTAAAGAATTTACAAACTTCCTTTTATATTGCATCACATGAACTAACTTCTCTTACACTTTGTTAGCTACATGTACAGCTCATCCTCCATCATAGGATATTTACAACAACTTATACCATTTTTAATCTGTAACCAACTTTACAGATGATGCAACATCTCATCTTTGCTGGTACTCAGCCATGGGTTTGATGAGACCTTCAGAGTATACTCGTTGAATTGCTTCACACACAAATCTGAACTGACTCTGAAAAAAATAAAAGAATACACCAGAATTACATGCTTGTTTAAGGGAAAAAGACCTATATATACAGATGCCAAGACAGGAGCTATCAGTTTGTACACAGCATATGCATGTAAAGCAAAGTTGCAAACCCCGCCACCCCTCCCCCCCCCCCCCCCCCCACACACACAAAAGCTTGGGGAGACATGATCACCACATACAAAATTCTCAGGGAAATTAACAGGGTCAAAAACCTTCTAGGATAATGAGGTCTCCCTAGTAAAGGGATGAGGCTGTCCACATGGGCACAACTAGTTACTGGCCATATCCAGCAGTGCTCAACCTGAGATATCATCCACTTAGTACTGTACACATGTGGGTGTAAATGTGTATGTGAATCATTAAAATACTTACAGCTGTCTGGATCATCATTGCTCGTTGATCCCTCATGGCCCGAACAACATCCAGAGGGTAAACTGGTTCATTTGCTTCAATAAGACACTGTGCAGTTTCCATGAGGATAAGAACGCCAGTCCTTCCAATTCCAGCCGAACAATGAACTATGGTGGGTTCTACCATGCCTGGAACATACAAACTGTGTCAGTGCTTGCTAACATCTTACACACCATGACATCATGAATCATACTTAATGTTGTAACTGCAGCAATTGATTGCCTACTTAATTTCTAAAAACACACCTTACTATTTTATGTCTTCCTCCCCAACTAGAAATTAATGGGTTGCTGTATGCAGACTTCTTACTAAATGCTGCCTCATTAATCATACAAAATTGTAAATTAGCAAGCAGGAAGAAGGAACACAGACAAATTATCACTGAGAAATGGACAAGAAAGTATGCAGCATTCAGAGAATAAACAATGTGAATGGAGCACTCCCATAATGGAGAATTGAGAGTAATACATTACACATAACACATTGAGAGTAACACATATTAGACAGACAATGCAAACTCTTGTGAGTCACAGGTAATGACATTGCACAACAGTGTCACTGACAAAACTAAAGAACCTCTTGGAAATTCACTTTTCCCAGATATTGTGATATAAAAACAGCAACATTTATTATTACTTTTTAAGGAAATGTTTTGTGAATCAACTTTGTGTTGAGCAAAAACAAGGTGTTGAAGGCTAGAACAGTAAAAACTGTTCTCTATGACTGGAACAAATAAAATAATACGTAAAGTAATGCTTCCCTATCCTCGTCCATAAATAGGCATAAATTAAGTTTAGGTCATCGTGCTAGTGGCGTGACTAGATATGGGGAAAGAGGGAACCCCCATTGTTGTGCAAGACCATGGGTTGAGCAGAAGATCTCTTGTGAGGAAGCTCCTTGTGCAGTCACATTTTGTGCTCATGAATCGGGTCATCCATGAACTCCAGCTGCCACTACCTCAAATTACAAGAGTAGTATCTCATTTCTGGTTTGTCAATATTTGTCTGTTCTTATTTTATGGCCGTTTAATACGTTTGGACGACAACCAGTTATGAGACAGGCGATTTAAAAAAAACATGGCGAGCCCATCACAATCAATCAATTAATTCTACTGAATGTGACATATCTGTGATAGGGAATATTTACAGTAGTTACATTTGTAATCTTTTGGCAGATCTGCGGTGGTCATCAGGGAACCACACGCCATCAACCCATTGCAACACATAGGAACACCTGCCGTAACCAACCAGGCTCATACCTGACTGATGTCCAAATCCCTCATTCTTATACTCATGTTGAAGCCTTCAGGTCAGATAAGGCCATTGAGTATTCAAACTGATACCAGTAGTTTAGTCAACTAATAATTATTACCAAATTCCTATCTATCGACAATTCTAGAGTGATAGGCGATAATTAAATAACCCCCCAAATATGTGCAGAGGGTAAACCCAGTAGGAGATAATTTTAATACAGTTCGCTTAATTCAACAAATACAATAACTACCCCTACTGGGAAAATCCCCACAGCCCCACCCTTGACAACAGAAGTGATGGCATGACTGGGCATGGTAAACCACCAACAAGAGACAAGACTCCTTAGGTGAACACTGATAATTAAAATGGGACAACCTCACTTCAAGAATGCCACAGCTGGTCATCAACTACTGCCACTCAGAAAAACAGAAAAGGAGAAAATATACCATAAGGTCTGTAATACTTCCAATTAGTGTGCTGACTGCAGCTTATATAGCCAATATACACAGATATATGTGTTATCTGCAGATAACACAGATAGATAGAGATAGATCTGCAGTTAAACCGAATAGAAAAATCGGTCAACTTATCTCAATTACCGTTTCCTGCTGCCAAATATCTTGGAACACAAGTGTACAGTTTCTGGAGTGGATTGAGTTTGTGGCACTAGAAACATAGCACCTTCTGTGACCCTACACACATCCCTGTAGCACCTGTGCCATATACTGACCGGCCTGACTGTGCAAGACTCTCAAAATTCAACATGCAATAGATTATATACTCCAGGAAGCAGCAAAGTGAGCTAGCACACAAACTGGTGTTGCACAATAGGTTTATTTGAAATATTCTGGTACATACACGAGTTTGAAATCAAACTCACCTGTTCTAGCCTGTCGAACCTGAGTAACAAAGTTTAAGAACTCCGTGGAATCATCTGGCACACCATGGTCTGGCCATGCTAGATACTGCATATGGGTGATGTGACGCTCAATTTGATTCTGCAATATTAGGAACATTTAAAGTAAATATGAAGGACTTTAGTACAGTATTATTTAAGTTTTAGGTATTCAACAAACAAACAAATGCACATGCATGCACTCTCTCACACACACACACACACACACCACACACACACACACACCAAAATTATGAGAAGGATTAAGACAGAAGAGGACTGCTTGAGGCTTCAAGAAGACCTAGACAAACTAAAGAAATGGTCGAACAAATGGTTGTTGGAGTTTAACCCAAGCAAATGTAATGTAATGAAGATAGGTGTAGGGACAAGGAGGCCAGTTACAAGGTATCATTTGGGAGATGAAATTCTTCAAGAGTCAGAGAGAGAGACCTGGGGGTTCATATCACACCAGACCTGTCCCCTGAAGCCCATATCAAGAGGATAACATCAGCAGCATATGCCAGGTTGGCTAACATAAGAACGGCATTTAGACACTTGTGCAAGGAATCATTCAGAACTTTGTATACTGCCTATGTCAAACCAATCCTGGAGTATGCAACCCCAACATAGAGTTCATATCTAGTCAAGCATAAGACTAAACTTGAAAAAGTTCAAAGGTTTGCCACCAGACTAGTACCCAGGCTGAGAGGTATGAGCTACGAAGAGAGACTACTAGACTGATACCAGAAAAAGGTGATTGGGTCGACTGTGTCTATTTGGACCTAAAAAAAGGCTTTTAACAGAGTCCCCACACAAGAGGCTGTGCTGGAAACTAACATGCTGAAGGAGTGACAGGGAGGCTTCTGACATGGATGAAAATTTTATAACTGACAGACAGATGAGGGCAGTAATCAGAGACAATGTATCTAACTCGAGAAGTGTTAACAGCAGAGTACCACGGGATTCAGTTCTTGCACCAGTATGTTCATTGTCTACATAAACTATCTACCAGAAGGAATACAAAATTATTTGAACTTATTTGTGGATGATGCTAAGATACTGGGGAAGATAGGAGATGCAGACAATTGAACTGCCCTTCAAATCGATCTTGATAAAATAAGTGCTTGGGGCATAAAGTAGCAAATGGAATTCAATGTGAATAAATGCCGTGTTATGGAATGTGGAATCGGAGAAATTAGACCACACACAACTTACAAATTATGTGGAAAAGAATTACAGAACTCTAATATCCAAAACCACCCCTAGATCTCATTCTTTATTAAACTGTCACCAAAAAGAACATTGTGAGCGTTTGTGTCGCTTTCAAACTTCAGACTTGCTTTTAATTACTGTATATGGATCGTGAAATACTAAAGAAACTATTCATGACTTTTGTGAGACCAAAATCGGAATATGCAGTAGTTGTGCCCAGATCTCAAGCACATAAACTGGAAAAGATGCAAAGGCATGCTACAAAGCATTAAACACGCTAAAACTAAAAGATGGAAAAAAAAAAAGAGGCAAAACGATCACCACTTACAAAACACTAAAAGATGGAAAAAAAAAAGAGGCGAAACGATCACCACTTACAAAACACTAACAGGAATCAACCAACTTGACAAAATGGAATTCCTGAAACCAGCAACATCACAAACAAGAGAACACAGATTCAAGCTAAGGAAACAAAGGTGCAAAAAAACTTAAAAAAATAGAAAGTTTTCTTTTGCAAAGAGAATGGTAGACAGTTGGAACAATCTAAGTGAGAAGGTGGTTGAGGCTAAAACTGTCAGTAGTTTCAAAGCGTTTGAAATGTAGGTATGATAGAGCCCAATAGGCTGAGAAATCTGTACATTGGTTGACTGACAGTTGAGAGGTGGGACTAAAGAGCCGAAGCTCAATACCCACAAGCACAACTAGGCGAGTACACAAACACACACACACACTAGAAAGTTTTCTTTCGCAAACCGAGTGGTAGATGTTTGGAACAAGTTAAATGAGAAGGTGGTGGAGACCAAAACCATCAGTAGTTTCAAAGCGTTATTTGACAGAGTATGGTACAGTATTGGGAAGACGGGACAACACGAGCAGAACTCTTATCCTGTAACTAAACTTAGGTAATACAGTATACTATATGTATGTATGTCTATATTCACCTAGTTGTGCTTGTGGGAGTTGAGCTCTGCTCTTTCAGCCTGCCTCTTAACTGTCAACCAATCAACTGTTACTAACTAACTCACTTCTTCCCCCCCCCCTCCCACACACACACACACACCTTGGAGAAGCCCGTAACAGCTGTCTAACTCCCACGTACCTATTTACTGCTAGGTAACAGGAGCATCAGGGTAAAAGAAACTGCCCATTTGTCTCCGCTGGCACCGGGAATCGAACCCGGGCCACAGGATTATGAGTCCAGCGCACTGTTCACTCAGCTACCAGACCCTTCCCCTCCCCCTCTCCCTTTCTCCCTCCCTCCCCTCTCTCCCTTTCTCCCTCTCCCCTCCCTCCCTCCCCTCTCTCCCTTTCTCCCTCTCCCCTCCCTCCCTCCCCTCTCTCCCTTTCTCCCTCCCTTCCCTCTCTCCCTTTCTCCCTCCCTCCCTCTGTGTGTGTGTTTTTTAAGGGGCTGGGGGTAGGAGGATAAGGTAACGAGTGAATGTCAACCAACCTCGGTATTGATGAGTGTGAATTCTCTATATGCAAAACCAGGTGTCTCCTCTTCTTTCAAGCATGTGACGTGCAGTGTACCGAAGTCTACTGTTTCATAAAGTCTAGGCCAGTATCTGTGGCATTTTACTCTGAAATTTGATTTGAGAACTGTATCAGACATTATCTCTGCAGTTTATGTAATAGTCAAAAACTATTATAAAATATAACTGATAAGAAAATAGTACTTTTGTCTTAGGCCAACCTTTTCAACTCTGAACAAATATATCATTCTCCCATTATCATTATTATATAATAACTGTGCATTAATGTGTTAAAAATAACAACCCAGAGATTATTTCCTCAATGATCATACTGTCGACACATTGCATGCAGGAAACGTGTGTCCTAACGACTTAACCACTCACCTTCCCTGTTCTACGACTGTTGTGAGCATGACTATTAGTGTTGACTGCTGTTCCCAAACCATCTGCCAGAAGTCTGTGCACGTGCCTGTCAGTGGACCCTGACAGGCAATATAGCGGTTAACGATGCCCGACCCTTGAATCTCCATGTTGACATACGACGCATTAATATATTCACATGACGCACTGTAAGTGAGGATGACTCGCGTCGTGTCATCTGATGGGCACAATAACCAGGGATGAGACAATTTAAATATGTTCGACTAAGTTGGTACAATGCATAACCGAGATTTTGAATAACAACACTATCAATATATAAATACTGTTACATTAGAGTACTGTACAAAATTGCATTGTAGAGGAGATCCAGAATGTTTTAGAAAGCAAGATGTTATTAAAAGGCTCTTAATTCCTGCCACAAGTACTCTTTGAACAAACAATAATGGCAGTACACTGTGCAATAGTCATGTTTAATTTAAAATTTCATTTTAAAATAAATACTGTGCAAATATGAAATTCTGATTATTCTCTCAAAATTATATTAAAATTATATTATTATAATAATATTAATAATAAGTAATGGCAATGTCTTCTCACAGACATAACAAAATAGGATAAAAACCCACTTGTGTATTTGTGAAATTTATGTAAGGAATTTACACCAATGTCTTTCACACACTCCTGAGTGCTTTGTCAAGGTTTGTGATTGGGTACGAGACTTACATCTCAACGTCTGAACCTAATCAATGTCTAGACGTTGAGATGCAAGTCTCGTCCTAATCGCAGACCCAAACCTTAACAAAACACTCAGGAGTGTGTGAAAGACATTGGTGTAAAAATTCCTTACATAAATTTCACAAAGACAAGTGTGTGGGGTTTTTATTCAGTATTAATAAGTATATAATATTAATTCCCAATATAACAAACTCACATGGCGAAATGTCACGATATCTGTTCTTTTTCTCGTTTTCTGGTCTGCGAGCGTGTGTGACGGTGAGACCAGGCTTGCGCCTGTACAGCTGCTCGAACTGCGCCACCAAGGACCCGGCCTCCAGACCCTCAGAGAGCAACAGCATGGACTCGTGGAGAGGTGCAGTCTGAGACCCCGCAACTCCCACACTGACAGTCGTCGGCAAGGCCTCGGGGACATACTGGAATGCTGGCTCTTCTAGCTCCTCTGCCAGGTACACTGTAACAAACATCACCTGATAAGCTACACTCGCATTTATACTGTACCACCAGGTACACTAACATGTTACCACCTGTTACCTAGCAGTAAAATAGGTACCTGGGTGTTAGTCAGTTGTCACGGGCTGCTTCCTGGGGGGTGGAGGCCTGGTCAAGGACCGGGCCGCGGGGACACTAAAAAGCCACGAAATCATCTCAAGATAACCTCAAGATAACATCACTTGGTAAGCTACACTCGCATTTACACTATCACCAACATATGTATACTAATAAAATTAATATTTTATGGATTTTTAATAAAATTATAAACTACACTGAACAGCGTTTGTATACATCAAATATTTTAAACTATCCTAAGTAGGCTGACTGTATACAGACAAAATTCAGTACATTAATTTTCAGTAACACTACAAACATCCTGTAATTGTAAATTGTGTACATAATAATGCATGTACACGCCTGGCTTGAGTTCAAGCTCCTGGATCCTACCTCTTATTGATTAGCTGATGTAGTTCAACACTTGCCACTGCTTTAAGGTTTATGTAATTATTATACAGAAAATATTCTTTCTAGTGAACCTTTAGACTTATAATTGCAGCCCATCCTCCTGCTTAGATAGTACTTATAGTAACGATGCGGACCATCGTACATAATATTGACGAAATGGACAATTAGAATGTAGAATACCGTACTAGCCGGAAGAGGTTTTGTATTTTTGTTGTTAATAAAACCAGATCTAACCATCCTAAGTCTAATACAAACTATATGAGGACTAATATAGAACATATATGTGCTATACTAAGCCTAGGAATATTTAAGTTTGTTTTTTAGCTTTATTGTATGAATTGTCCAATACGTCAATATATGTACGATGGTCCACGTATCTTGAGGTTATATCTTGAGATGATTTCCGGGCTTGACGTCCCCGCGGCCCGGTCCTCGGCAGAAACTCTGCCGTAGTTACCAAGAGTACTATTTAAACAGGAGGATGGGTTGTAGCCTACAATTCGGTATTCAACCATTATCTAACAGTGAAAAGGACCGGGCTACGGGGACGATAAGCTCTGAAACCATCTCAAGATAACCTCGTTTGCAAGTAGTGGGACCAGCCCCCCCCCCCCCCCCCAAGGGGATGAACCAGGTCTCAACCCCCCCCCCCCCACAAAAAAAAAAAGTGGCGAGGTTACAGGCTGTTACCATGTGTCTCTGATCCTCTTCAAGAACAAAAGTACAAAATGTAAACTGGAGGCGATGAGTCACAATAACGTGGCTGAAGAATGTCGACTTGACAATCGACTTGAGAATGGTCCAGGACGGACCGAAACGTCGTCGTCCCTTCACCTTCTAGTGTGTGGTCTGGTCAACAAAATGTGAACTCTCTGGGTGCAAGTTTACATACGGTCCACAATCGCTGTATGTACTACAACTTTTGGAGGATAAGAACCAAGAATTACCCCAAGTCCGTACAATCACACCCATCAAAATAATTGATCATAAAACGAGTGGTAGGCTCTCAGTACGAAATACAAACTGCTACACATGGTTAACTGTTAATATTTTGGACTATTGAAAATTGATAACCCATTGTCGGGGACAGGAAGCCAGTTACAATTATGGAGGTGTCTCAGGCGTAAGACTGACCTCTTCAAAGATGCAACCCACAAGTTGCCAAACCCCGGTTATTTTGCTTAACTACTAGGACGCATGGTGCATTAGGTGGAAAGAAAAGTGGCCGGGAATCGAAGTAAGGGTTTAGTAGGTTGCGAATCGACTCCACAGACCACTACACTTCAGAGGCAAGTAACGTCGCCGTAGTGTAGTGGCCAGTCGTGTAGCCGTACGTCGCTGTGGTGTAGCCGTACGTCGCTGTGGTGTAGCAGACCTCTACACTACATCACCTTAATTATAGCAAGAAAATCTAACCCATCGCAAATCCTCGCAAAACGTAACTAGTTTTCTTCGTGTTTTGTTATAAACTTATACACATACGCATTGTTACACATTTTCAATGTTGAAACATTGCGCAACAGGATGAGTTGCATAACCAACTGCGTAAAAATAGAGTACAAATAATACAATTCCAAGCGACACAACACAGTTGAGCGTAGTTAATAATACTGACACGGGCAGAACTGTTGCAGTGTGTGAGGCTGCAGCTCCCGGACCCACACGGCCATCCTGCCCTGCTCACCTTCGTCACGTGACTGATCGCTGCCACTCTTGCCTCAGACACCTGAACTATCTAATCAGGGACATGTGACGTCTTCACGCGGCCCACAACAACTCAGAGGAAAAACCTTAAACATTCGAAATGGTTCACAAGACAATGTAGACAATCTTGGCACTTTAGTATAATGCATTAATCAAAATTATGAAATTTAATAAACTGAAATTCGATTATGATTATTATTTATATATATATAAACACACCAATTAATCCGCCACTTTATTTTAAATGTAAGTATCAGCGCTCATGATACGAAGACAAAGTTATAAAAGAAAGCAAAATATATTGTTCAATATTTGAATGACTCGACAAATTTGTTAAATATGACCCAGTAAATGATTCTGCGAGAAGCGGAGGTGCACAGCGGGGACACCGTGTCGCGGCGAGGTCACATTCCCAGGTGAAGCACAAGAATGGCGCGACTTTCTGAGGTGGGGGTGTAGAGGTGCACACTAGGGGGGGGGGGAGCAGGACTGGTCACTACTAAACACGACAGTTACTCGGTGTGAGGGAGAAGGCAGTAGTGAGGCCAGCTGAGGTGTGGGAGTGCCTGGGGTGGCCACGTGTGTCGACGCCACCTTCTCCAACCTTACAGGATTAACACTAACTGGTTCATACAATGTTGCCAACCATTCCACCCCTCACGTTTCTTCGACATCTTAATTTATTCGGGTATTTACTTGGTTTTCTAAACTGAATATGCTTTTAAGCAGCATTGATTTGACACTTGCAAGTATGAGGAGAGGTCTTGGAGGACAGCTTGCCATAACACACCGGTCACGGCCGCCGCCTCAACCTCTGCACAAATTCCAATGGTGACTTTTACAGCTTCAATTTATTCAGGCAACAGCTTCACAACACAGCTGTGTGTGTTCTACCGAGGTAACAGCGTTCATAGGAAGATATCCAGCAGTAAGGTGGAAATATATAACGATACACATTCGTCCCATGTAATCCCAATAATATGATTAAAGTACAACATATTTCAGGCCTTCATCAAACACAGTGCCCATCCTAGTGTTTCGATCGCCATGAAAATCTTTCCTGTGAATACAACTTTGTGAAAAATATTGTATTCACAGCAATTGAACAAGGCTGCTCCTACCCTGGCAATCCCCCCCCCCCCACACACACACAAAAAAAAAAAAAAAAACATCGATTACGATTTTTGTTTGATGTTCATAAAAGTTGAAGTACCTTGATAAACTAGAGCACTCGTTAGTCACCTGATAAGCAAGAGACGTGTTTCAAGGTCCAGCAATGTGTGTTACCAGAACCACCGGATACCAGGCACATTAACGTCTGGACGCCGGTCCCGTGGCCGGTGGTGGACCCCATACCCCATCCCGTGGGCGGTGGACCCCATACCCCATCTCGTGGGCGGTCCTGGACCCCATACCCCATCTCGTGGGCGGTCCTGGACCCCACACCCCATCCCGTGGGCAGTCCTAGACCCCACACCCCATCCCGTGGGCAGTCCTGGACCCCATCCCGTGGGCAGTCCTGGACCCCATCCCGTGGGCAGTCCTGGACCCCATCCCGTGGGCAGTCCTGGACCCCATCCCGTGGGCAGTCCTGGACCCCATCCCGAGGGCAGTCCTGGACCCCATCCCGTGGGCAGTCCTGGACCCCATCCCGTGGGCAGTCCTGGACTCCATCCCGTGGGCAGTCCTGGACCCCATCCCGTGGGCAGTCCTGGACCCCACACCCCATCTAGTGGGCAGTCCTGGACCCCACACCCCATCTCGTGGGCGGTCCTGGACCCCATACCCCATCTCGTGTGCTGTGTTGTATAAGGTTACAGATGTATACAATGAGCTTAAGAACTGAACTCCCCCAAAATTCATTTAGGTAAGCAAGTTACAATCTTGACAGCTGTAGTTACACAGATTAATGGGTTCGAGAACGCGCAAAAGTATAGTCTCTAAGCTAAGCAACTTAAACATGCTGTTATCTAGTATCACACAACATTAACATTAGTTAGAGCGATCGTAGAGTTAATAATTATTATCTATGTTTAAAGATACAGTATACCAACGTTTTCTTTGTACGACAGAAAACTTGACTAACGGAACTTAGGATCTGGTATACTAATGTATTTTAAAATATTTTGCAGGAAACCCAGCATATCAACCTGTGCTTCTACGTAGCGGAATTGCATTTAAAATACAAACCATGATAATTACTGAACAATTCAATGGTAAGTGGTACTGAAAAAGGCCACCGGATAATTCCTTCCGTCACGTCTCAAGGCGGAAAGTGACGCGGAAATTTACCCACGCGAGACAATGCCATGAATCTACCCGCCCTAGCTAATTGTTCCAAGGACAACTATTGTCCATGACACACAATAGTCTACATGACAGAATGGCTGTACCAGACACTGGTACAGTGACCAGCCCCCCCCCCACCCTCCTCGTGGACCAGACACTAGCACAGTGACCAGGCCCCCCCCCCCCTTGTGGACCAGACACTGGTACAGTACCAGACACTGGTACAGTGACCAGCCCCCCCCCTCGTGGACCAGACACTAGCACAGTGACCAGCCCCCCCCCCCTCGTGGACCAGACACTGGTACAGTGACCAGCCCCCCCCCTCGTGGACCAGACACTGGTACAGCGACCAGTCCCCCCCCCCCCCCTTGTGGACCAGACACTAGCACAGTGACCAGGCCCCCCCCCCTTGTGGACCAGACACTGGTACAGTGACCAGCCCCCCCCCTCGTGGACCAGACACTAGCACAGTGACCAGGCCCCCCCCCTCGTGGACCAGACACTAGCACAGTGACCAGGCCCCCCCCCCCCTCGTGGACCAGACACTGGTACAGTGACCAGGCCCCCCCCCTCGTGGACCAGACACTGGTACAGTGACCAGCCCCCCCCCCCCACCCCCCTCGTGGACCAGACACTAGCACAGTGACCAGGCCCCCCCCCCTCGTGGACCAGACACTGGTACAGTGACCAGCCCCCCCCCCCCCTCGTGGACCAGACACTGGTACAGTGACCAGCCCCCCCCCCCCTCGTGGACCAGACACTGGTACAGTGACCAGCCCCCCCCCTCGTGGACCAGACACTAGCACAGTGACCAGCCCCCCCCCCTCGTGGACCCACCCCCCCCCCCCCCTCGTGGACCAGACACTGGTACAGTGACCAGCCCCCCCCCCGTGGACCAGACTACAGTGACCAGCCCCCCCTCGTGGACCAGACACTAGCACAGTGACCAGGCCCCCCCCCCTCGTGGACCAGACACTGGTACAGTGACCAGACACTGGTACCCCCCCCCCCCCTCGTGGACCAGACACTACAGTGACACAGTGACCAGGCCCCCCCCCCTCGTGGACCAGACACTGGTACAGTGACCAGCCCCCCCCCCCCGCGTGGACCAGACACTGGTACAGTGACCAGCCCCCCCGCGTGGACCCCCCCAGCCCCCCCCCCTCGTGGACCAGACACTGGTACAGTGACCAGCCCCCCCCCCCGCGTGGACCAGACACTGGTACAGTGACCAGCCCCCCCCCCCCGCGTGGACCAGACACTGGTACAGTGACCAGCCCCCCCCCTCGTGGACCAGACACTGGTACAGTGACCAGGCCCCCCCCCCCTCGTGGACCAGACACTGGTACAGTGACCAGCCCCCCCCCCCGCGTGGACCAGACACTGGTACAGTGACCAGCCCCCCCCCCCCGCGTGGACCAGACACTAGTACAGTGACCAGCCCCCCCCCTCGTGGACCAGACACTAGCACAGTGACCAGCCCCCCCCCCCTCGTGGACCAGACACTAGCACAGTGACCAGGCCCCCCCCCCTTGTGGACCAGACACTAGCACAGTGACCAGGCCCCCCCCCCTTGTGGACCAGACACTAGCACAGTGACCAGCCCCCCCCCTCGTGGACCAGACACTAGCACAGTGACCAGGCCCCCCCCCCTTGTGGACCAGACACTAGCACAGTGACCAGGCCCCCCCCCTTGTGGACCAGACACTAGCACAGTGACCAGCCCCCCCCCCCCTCGTGGACCAGACACTAGCACAGTGACCAGCCCCCCCCCCCCTCGTGGACCAGACACTAGCACAGTGTCCAGTCCCCCCCCCCCCCCTCGTGGACCAGACACTAGCACAGTGACCAGCCCCCCCCCTCGTGGACCAGACACTAGCACAGTGACCAGGCCCCCCCCCCCCTCGTGGACCAGACACTAGCACAGTGACCAGGCCCCCCCCCCCTCGTGGACCAGACACTAGCACAGTGACCAGGCCCCCCCCCCTCGTGGACCAGACACTAGCACAGTGACCAGGCCCCCCCCCCTCGTGGACCAGACACTAGCACAGTGACCAGGCCCCCCCCCTCGTGGACCAGACACTAGCACAGTGACCAGGCCCCCCCCCCTCGTGGACCAGACACTAGCACAGTGACCAGGCCCCCCCCCCTCGTGGACCAGACACTAGCACAGTGACCAGCCCCCCCCCCCCTCGTGGACCAGACACTAGCACAGTGACCATGCCCCCCCCCTCGTGGACCAGACACTAGCACAGTGACCAGGCCCCCCCCCCTCGTGGACCAGACACTAGCACAGTGACCAGGCCCCCCCCCTCGTGGACCAGACACTAGCACAGTGACCAGCCCCCCCCCCCTCGTGGACCAGACACTAGCACAGTGACCAGGCCCCCCCCCCCCTCGTGGACCAGACACTAGCACAGTGACCAGGCCCCCCCCCCTCGTGGACCAGACACTGGTACAGTGACCCCCCCCCCCCCTCGTGGATCAGACACTGGTACAGTGACCCCCCCCCCCCCCCCCCCCCCCCCCGCGTGGACCAGACTGGTACAGCAAGGTCTACCCACCGTTCTGCTTGACAGTGAGGACTAGCTCGCCGGAGTGGCACTCCCTGGAGGCGCGGATGAAATTGACCACCTGCTCGTGGGTCATGGCCGAGACGTCCCTGCCGTTGATCAGCAACACCTGCAACACACAACACAACAACACTTAAGCAATATTTAACGGTATTCCAGGTATTTTTGCCAAGTATCTCGCCCGGTTCTTTCTAAATGTGTAAGTCTTAACAAAGATCTGTAGGGCGGAGTTAACAACTGCTCAGGGGCCACATTCACGAAAGCACTTACGCAAGCACTTACGAACCTGTACATCTTTTCTCAATCATTGGCGGATTTGTTTCCAATTATTAAACAATTAATGAGCTCCGAAGCACCAGGAGGCTATTTATAACAATAACAACAGTTGAATGGGAAGTTTTCATGCTTGTAAACTGTTTAATAAATGTAACCAAAGCCGTCAAAGATTGAGGAAAGATGTGCACGTTCGTAAGTGCTTGCGTAAGTGCTTTCGTGAATCTGGCCCCAGGTGGTTATCATCTCAGTTTGTCCTCTTCAGAACCGTGGACTGGCACATACACATGTATTACATGTGTATGTATGTATACAGTCCATGTATACGTACAATGCCACTATACCTTTGTTGAAACAAATAAGCATCAATATCTCCTCTGCGGAAGCTAAACCTCACGTCCCTGGAAGATCGAAGAGTAAGGGGAGACATGATAACGACCTACAAAATACTCAGGGGGGAATTGACAGGGGTGGATAAAGACAAACTATTTAGCATGGATAGAACACGAACAAGGGGAAATTTCCACACAGGTGGAAACTTAGTATCCAAATGAGCCACAGAAGCATTCGAAAGATTTTTTAAGTGTCAGAGTAGTTAACAAATGGAATGCATTAGGCAGTGAAGTGGTGGAGGCTGACTCCATTCAAATGTAGATTTGATAGAGCCTAATAGACTCAGGAATCTGTACACCAATTGATTGACAGTTGAGAGGCGGGACCAATGAGTTAGAGCTGAACCCCCGCAAGCACAACTAGGTGAGTACCACACATGAACTACGATAATTGGTTTCCATATGTTCGTGACAAATTCCAAGCCGAAACTTAATGTTAGTCAGGGACAAGCCATCATCACCTGTTCAAGTCCCTAAGGCGTTGGGTTAGTGTTAATGAATGTGTTATGTATTCTTTCTAAGCCAAGTCAAATTAACATTACCACTGCGATTCATGCATTATTAGATTAAGAAACAAGGCATAGTGGCCTGACCCAAGTGCAGGTCACCCAAGAAAGTCACGTGAAGTTACCCCAAGGAAGTTCCCGTTAGCCAGGGGAAAGCAAGTGTAGAAAGTGGAGCTGGGTACAGCACCTCTCTCACACTTCCTTCTCTCGCCTACACATACTTGGAGCACTGCAACACAACACAATAATTATATGTATTTAGGTTGAGATCTTCTCAAATTACTGAGGTCAACGGAATAAGTTTGTGTGCTGTGTGAATGGGGTGTACAAAGGAGTACACAGACATTAGGGGCCCTTGTGAGGGACCGCTCGTACTAGGGGCCCTTGTGAAGGGCCACTCGTCAAACAATGCGAGTTGTATGGCAGAACGCATAAAACTGAAACCAATTAAGACTGTCGCTAGTCTGAGACACGCACAGACAGGTCCCACCCGCGCACGCTCTCTCTCTCTCTCTCTCACAGACGCGCACGCGCGCGCACGCACGCACGCACGCACGCACGCACGCACGCACACACACACACACACACACACACACACACACACACACACACACACACACACACACACGGGCTGGTTGACCGAGTGGACAGCGCTCTAGACTCGTGGACCTAGGGACCGGGGTTCGATCCCTGCACCCGGCGGAGCCAGAGGGGCAGAGTTTCCTTAACCCTGATGCCCCTGTTACCTAGCAGTAAATAGGTACCTGGGAGTTACACAGCTGCTATGGGCTGCTTCCTGGGAGGAGGGGGGGGGGTGCTGGAGGAGAGAAAAAAAGTTAGTTAGTAGTTAGTAACAGTTGACTGATTGACAGTTGGTTGAGAGGCGGGCCGAAAGAGCAGAGCTCAACCCCCACAAGCACAAATAGGTGGACACGCACTGCACTCAACACACTTCCGGATCCCGCACATGTGTTCTTGAAGGATAAACTGTCACCAGCATTCCAAGAAGTGTTGTCAAATTCCTCCCCACCGGATATCTGGCCTTCCGGTGCCGCCTCGACGCCACCGTCTCCTCCCCATACATGCAATACTCCCTATACATGCCACTAATGTACACACAGTAGTCGAGTGTAACCTATATGGCCAATTTCTTTAATTATGTTGAATACATTTTATGAACGGTATCAACAGATATTAGAAGACAACGCTACAGGGGAAGGAGAAGCAGAGGAATGGAATAGGATGGAGATATTGTTATGTATTTAATGTAGTATATAATGTATTATGCATTACAGAGCTGGTGTCCGAGCATCTTACTACAATACTGTATTTAATAAAGTCAAGTCTTATTTTTTCAGTGCACAAAAAAATTAAATCTTAAAAAAAAAATAATAGCGCTGCATTTTTTGTGGGAAAATTCGCATAATTATTATGTGTTGGAGTTTATATTCTATAAATGTTGGTTAGTGTCCGAATGTCAAAATATATTAAACAAATGACTAACCAATACAAATCTAATATGGGTTAAAAAGTTTTTAGTGAGGTTAAAATATTGCATCTCATTTAACATTTACAACAAATAATATTTGTAAAGAAGCGTACTAATGAGGTGGAGATGCTTCCGTCTTGAGAGAAGATGGTCCACTGACAGCCGCCTCTCCTGCCACCCCGGGCCACCCCTGGCCACTCCGGGCCACCCCTGGCCACCCCGGGCCACCCCTGGCCACCCCGGGCCACCCCTGGCCACCCTGGGCCACCCCTGGCCACCCCGGGCCACTCCGGGCCACTCCGGGCCACCCCTGGCATTATCATCAATAAATTGATATATTCAATTTTTTACTATAAATTAAGGATAAATTAAGGATAGTTTTCATGTACATCAGAATTTGGCTTGATGCACTGAACTGAACCTTACCGCAGAAACCACGTGCTTAACGTGTGTGTGTTCTGATTTAGTATGATCTGACTACACAAGTTGCTGGACTCACCTGGTCACCCTCGTTGAGCCCGGAGGAGGATGAGGACTCACCTGGTCACCCTCATTGAGCCCGGAGGAGGATGAGGACTCACCTGGTCACCCTCGTTGAGTCTTGGGTAGCAGCGGTCTGCCGGGGTGTTGGGCGCCACCCGGGACACCAGGACGGGCAAGTTCTGGTCAGCGCCGCCCTTGACGTTAAAGCCAAACTTGCCTCCGTCGTCGGGTTTCATCCTGATGGTAACGAGACCGTGGGCGCTCTCCTCGCTACCTCCCGGCTGCAGGCGACCCAACCAGGCCACGGGAAGAAGAAGAAGTGAGGAGTGAGTGCCACCTACACCAGCAAGCAGTGAACAGCCAGCCACCCGAAGAGGCAAATATAATGCACCCTGTGGTCCCTCTAACCCTTGCATGGATGCAACAAGCAATACATATTATAAATATATTGGGAAAACAACAATTGCGTCTCCTGAGCGCAATGTTGCAGAAATAAGACTACTCGGGAAATGCATGGATAGAGGAGAACAAGGAAAGTCTGCCACGTGCATGGGAGATAATTAGATTAAGTACAGGAAATAATTAGTGTTATGCACCAGCAAGTAGATGGGGGGGTGACTTTCTCAGGCCGCCTCGCCTCAGCTTCACGGCTACATCCTAATAAATTTCCTCAACTCCACAACTAGCCTAGCAACTTTCCTCACTTATAGTTATTCTTTTACTTATCCTCACTTATAGAATATTTTATAGTTACTCAAAAGTTGGTAAGTAGAGTGTGGAGTCACACTCCACTTACGAGTGGCGTGTTAATGTGTCCCCCTCTAACCAGCTCCCAGACACTACAACTTTCCCTTCCTTACATAACCATCAACACATTGCTTTCCCGGTATACAATGCCGGAAATTATTTCGCGCGCTTCATTACTCCGTATTTTACACATCTGGACTAACCTCAGAAACGAATCGCATCCAGCAGCTCAGAATGTCACCACTTGCGTGTCTGCTAGGAATCCCCAGCTACGAGTGCGTGTTAGGTCGGAACCCAGCAGCAACAGACACAAACCCAGCGGCAATGTGCGCGTGTTCCGTGGCGGGAACGGCAGTCAGGCTCCCGGCTGTAGAACACGTGACCACTAACCTCACGCTGATACCAAAAGATGATTATAACGAGCGACTTTCATAGACGCCACCGTCTCCTTGACATGTGGTGGGAGGAGATAACTAAACTCAAGTACCACGTGTTACTTTCAAACGTTTGTTTTTAACCGGGAGTAAAAATGTGTAAACCATCTAAAGTGTTTTTACAATATCTGCAGGTAAATATAACAATCTTGTTTTAATTTGTGAGGAATAGGTGTGAGGTTGTGAGGAATGGGTGAGAGGTTATGGGGTGTGAGTATGAGGTTGTAGGTCCTGGGGTGTGACGGTGTGAGGTCCAGATGTGAGGTCTGGGTGTGAGGTCTGGGTGTGAGGTCTGGGTGTGAGGTCTGGGTGTGAGGTGGGGTGGCATGGTGTCACCTCAGCCCCCAGACGCACCACTCCAGAATGGCTGGGACACGCTTTCCCATACCGTCTAAAATTAGCAACATTTTAAAGGTGAGGGAGCATGCAGAGGCGCCAGGAGTACACCCCAGCGACCAGCCTCGCTCCTGCCCTCCCTGGTGCTCCTGCCGGGTCTTCTGGTCTCCTGGCTGATGCTGCTACCACTAATGCCGCTCTTCACACTACCACTGTTAGTAATGTTCGTCCCGTTGTCAAGGTTGCTCCCGTTGTCAAGGGTGCTTCCGTTGTCAAGGGTGCTCCCGTGGTCAAGGGTGCTCCCGTGGTCAAGGGTGCTCCCGTTGCTCACCTCGCCCGTATCGTACAATAAGGATCTCGCCAGCCAGGAAGTATCGGTGGAGAAACTTAACAAACGACTCGTTTCTCGTGGGACACAACCCACAGCGGTCAACACACCACCGTGACACAGGTGAGGGGGTCACCACGCCACGACTGCATCTACAGTAGTGCCATAAAGTTCAAAACAACTCTACCCGCCCTCGCTAATTGCTCCTTACTGATTGATCAATTTATTTATTATGCACCCCATACTCATCCCGTGGGCGGTGGTGGAAAGCACCAACCGTATTTGATTGAGTGAAAGGTCTTTGTTACCGAGGGCCACCAACCATCCACTTCAAGTACTGGTCGAGGAGAATACAAGGCCGCACAGCTCTTGCTCCACCACCACACCACTACTGTGATAGGCAGCTGCCAGTGAGAGTACACAGTGGACGGCCGCCACGACACACTAACCTTGACAACACGCTACCTTTCAGCTGGCATGTATGACAGTCGTCTACCCTGACATTACTGTGATGACCCAGGAATTAACCTAGATGCTAACTATGTAATGAACTTACTGTAATTAAGACGTGTTTAGTTCACGGTTATATTGGATCAAGTTGGTTTGATATTATTTATTTACTCATGGAGTAAATGAGACTCAGTTACAGAGTAAGGTTATAGCATGGCCTTATAATTGCATTAGATGCATGTTGTATTATACAATCAGTGTATCCCATTATACCAACGAGTGGTGGACAAGGTTTTGGGCTACAGGTTTTGAACGAGTTCGATTCTTGGCCGTATTATGGGAGTTAAGACGGAGGAAGCTGTAGGTTAGGCCAAGTGAGTGTCATTAATAACACATGACAAAATACTACACGAGTGGGAATCGTTTCCAAAGTCTTTACCCTGAATTAGGACTCACTATGGCCGTGTTGGCCAGAGTGATTAGGTGGGGACTGTGTTGTTTTAAGAGATGTGGCAGGTGGTTGGCACTTTTCTAGAAGCTCCTTCCTGACTCAGTTGCTGGGGGACATGATGCCAGCGGCTCGCTCCTGCCCTCCCTGGTGGTGCTGCCGCCGGCGCTCGAGAAGCGGGAGTAGCTGGATGCTGCTGTGTCATCTCATCTAAGTGTAGTGTTGTTGTCTAAGAGTTACAATGGTGTACAATTATGTCTGGAAATAAGTTATTTAAGCTTTGTATATGCTGAGTTGAATTGTCATCCACACTTCCATGGAAATAAACATTCCATTCACCTGGGCTGTGAGTGACTCGAACCGTCGACCCCACGCGTGAGGTCCACGGTGATTGCTTCTTGTAGGACGCCACTATACCAATCTTTTACATTTATAATTTTATAACTATTTAATAACCTAATTAAAGGTGCTACCGACCCACAGCGTAAAGAGAAGGGGAGCATATCTGTTTTAAACAAAAATGTTAAGAGCGGGTACAGCGACAAATTATTAAGATATTATTATATATATATATATATATATATATATATATATATATATATATATATATATATATATATATATATATATATATATATATATATATATATACACACACACACACACACACACCTAATCACCCGGGCTGAGAGACTCGTACGTCAACCTGCAAGCAGGGCGTCTAACAACCTAGTTAATCAGACCACCAATCAAGTGAACAGCCCGCGAGAACATCGATTTCCGGAACCAAGAAGAGGTAGACAACAGGTTGACAGTAGCAGCGGAACTACGAGGCCACTGTCGCGGCAGTGACCTCGTAGTCGCATTAATTTATCACTAACTTTCCCAAGGCGGACTGCATTACCACCACAATGGGTCGTCACTGAGGCCAGATATAACGGAAGAACATTAGTCGTCTTCACCAACACTGTTATACGAGTCGTACAGTATACTACTCCGCGCAGTTGCTCATGCAAGACCTGAGGGCTCTACCTGAGTTACCTTCCGATGATTTCAGGACTTAACGTCTCAGTGGCCCGGTCCTCGACCAGGCTTCCAGGCCGGAACCTCGCCACCTTTATTCCTTGTTTGGGTTGGCTTAGTTATTTTGTTTACACATTGGCTTCTCGGCTTAAAAGTTCCAAATACCGAGTAATCAGATTGCGAAATCCGAAAGTTTCCCCCAGTGTCAACATGTGCAGCCAATAGTTGCAAACTGTTTACTATCACCAAGCTCAGAATACTCCACTTGTCAGCGTATTAAACACCTGTCAGTCTGTGGTCCATTTTAGTCTAAATCGTCCTGTAAACATTTTTGTCCTTGTTTAAATTTTACGTCCTGCCTTATTTTACTGTTGATAGTTCATTTCCTTGGTGTCAATTTGTACTTAAAATTAACAAATACAAAAGTGTGGGGTTTTAATCGTATAAAGTAATATATAATCGTATATACACACAGAAATCACAATAGCGTGATGCATCAAACAGGTTCGAATCCTCGTCACGGCCCTTGTGGATTTGTTAATCGTATATATTTAATATAAATATATATATTTAATATAAATATAGATTTAATATATATTATACGTTTGTATATTATATAAATATCATCCATTTGTATATATTACAAACATTTATTTTGAACAAAAAACTTAGATATATATACTTATATATCCGTATTTATAATTATATATAATGAAAAGGTGAGGAGACAGCCGTGGGGGGGGGGGAACTCCACATGCGACAATTTCTCCACTCTGCTCCTGGACTGTTACTTGTGAAGGCCACGAAAGTAACTTGGAAACTCTTGCCCAGTTCCGGACCGTTGTCTGGCCACTGGCTGGGTGGAGCAGCGGGGGACCCACAGCCGCTGCTGGAGGCGCCGCTACCCGCCCTCACACAGATAATGCCTCACTAAAAATAAATCCTACTCTTCATCAACAAACAATAAGACTTTGTTCACAGTCCTGAGTGGAAGCTCTTATTAAGTATTATTCTAGACGGACGGTAGAGCGACGGTCTCGCTTCATGAAGGTCGGCGTTCAATCCCCGACCGTCCAAGTGTTTAGGCACCATTCCTTCCCCCCTCCCCTCCGTCTCATCCCAAATCCTTATCCTGACCCCTTCCAAGGGCTATATAGTCGTAATGGCTTGGCGCTTTCCCCTGATAATTACCTTACCTCCCTTCCTCCCCCCCCCCCTTCCCTCCCTCTTAATGCAGTAGGCGGATAATACAGTTTCTTTTATGTCATTGGCATAATTAGAAAAGTAGCATCTTCCATGTCAATATTTACCCATGTTACAAAGCTGACGAGACAAAGCAGACCAAAGGATTGTCGAATGAAATATTGCCGGAACAACCGTGGACATCTTCAAGAGAAAACTAAGATAGCTTTCTTCAAGGAGTGCCGGACCAACCGGGCTGTGGTGGGCCTGTCCTCTCTTCCCTCCTCCCAACAACAACAACAAAATCTATGTTAAAAAAAAAAAAGGTTTACG